CAAAAAATTGTAAGATTACTTACCGAGTGTGCACCGTTCGACGTCGCCATTGCTTAACCTTGTTTTCGTCGCGGAGCAGCGCATCGAATGACGGGCGCTTTTTCTGATAATTTATTTTTCTGCGAAAAATTCGTTGAACTTTGGAGACATCATTAATAGAAATAATTTTTATGGCCATTGAATAAGAAATGTTTCTTTCACAAGAAATGTATAAAATTACAGTGCGTATTAGACTTACGGTACCTAATTTACATACTGTACAAACGATAGTAAACTTAACTTACTCGCCTAAACTCTTCGTAGCGTGGCGCTAGACGGCGGAAAGTAGTTCGGCTGCTCGTTCCCTATTGGGTTAGATTCGGCCAATTCTGTCGCGACAGGAGTCGGCGACGACGTTTTACGAGTCCCTTTTAGCGTCCTTATACGAATACTGTCGCAATTTTTTCGCTACGTTATAGGAATCTCCCTTATAGGAACCCACGTTATAGGGGGTCGACTGTATTCATTATGAACAGAAATTGAAAAATCTTCAATAGTATATGAATCACTCTCTATCTATAACACAGTTTGTATAGGTTATTTGTTAGATGCGTTAATGAAATCTATCGCGCCGTTCGGATTGTACAGTACATGATTAATTCGTGTTCCTGTATATTGAATAACAAGAAACAGAAGATATACTTGACATTTTCAGTGTTAATTCGAATGTACACGCATTTCTTAGAGATCATTTTCTGGATGGTGAATATTCTGTTCTTCGTAAGTTTAATCGATGGCAACCTTTACAGTTTATTAGTTAAGAATATGTACAAAGAAAATGCTTTAAAGGAGTCAATAGTGAATGCATTGATATCGAGTTATCTGTCGGTCCAATACAATATTTACAAGAGTAAGAAAATTCGCTACGACCGTCGTGTGAATAATCAATATTAACAGACATAATTAATCATTGAGAACTCTACATCACTGATAACATGGTATCAACCTCTCTTTTATTTAATTGAATTTATAAAAAATGCAAACATATAAAATTTAAATCAGTAATTGTTCCTACTAAATTATTAGTAAACTAGCAGGTAGGTCCGGCGTTGCTCGGGCAAAAAGTAACGATAGCGAATATTATGATTATTACGTTATAGTCATCTTTACCGGTTTTCACAGAATGCAAAAATTGGGTCCCCCTGTTTCTGGACTAATTAGAGAATTTTTAGATCGGTCTAAAAATATGTTCGATTTGTCGCAAAAAACTGCATCTGCGTCTTGCACGTTGCCTTCTCTTAACGATCCCATTGTTACGTAACACTTCCATTGTTGACACATCCATTGTTAACACTGCCATTGTTACTTAACACTTCCATTGTCGAATCCTTAATTTTGTCTCTCTCACCCCGGAGGTGTATTTCGAAAAATTACTTCTTACCCTAACTGTGTACCAAATTTCAACTGTCAACTCCTAACCGTTTGGTCTCTGCACTTATTATTATTATTATCAACCCGTCTCGATTATATATATAGATACGTACTGTTTGAGGATATTTGAATTTCAAAGATCCTGGAAATCTGACATTAATTATAAAGATTAAAATTATATTAAAAATAGATTCACAATAAACCTTGGAGTGACCACCAAAATATTTATTTGAAAAACGTTTTCGACCGTATTCTTCGGCCTTCTTCAGGTTAAACGTTTCGAGATTCAAAAAGCCGTTTTGTGCCTACAGATTTAAAAGTTTTGGAACATATTTAACTCATAATGCGCATGCGTATCAAGCATTGCATAAACAAAAATACAGTATATTTAAACAATCTTATTTTACACGGACGTGAAATGTTGGAAAACACCTTAACTACAGTTGTGGGGGCCTTCTCCTTCAACGACAAATCTCCAAGTTGTAGAAATATTACTCGCATCCTTATAGTTGATGCAGTTATTGCGTAACCCCGCTTTATATATTTCCAGAGTTTCTAGCGTTCGTATGTGTTTCTTTCTGTGTGAAAGTTTAATGAATTGCGCATTATGCAAGTCGGCACTTATGCCCGGGATCGAAGCATAAGTAGATAGGGCAGTGGTGCATCTGTTATGTTCAATGTCATATTTGTGTTCGCGTATACGTTTATCTAGAGAGCGTATCGAGAAGCCAATATATACAAGGTCCCTTTGAAATCTATGCTCCCTTAGTGGGACAGAATATACCACTGGAATAGATCTCTTGTCTATGTCGTCTTTGCAGTTTTGCATAATGTCATAAATAGTACTACGCCTCCTATATGCAACCCTCTTGATTCGATTTACAGAGAAATTGCTGCATGTACAAACAAGAGGATTGCATATAGGAGGCTTAGTACTATTTATTATTTATGATATTATGCGCAACTGCAAAGACGACATAGACAAGAGATCTATTCCAGGGGTATATTCTGTCCCACTAAGGGAGCATAGATTTCAAAGGGACCTTGTATATATTGGCTTCTCGATACGCTCTCTAGATAAACGTATACGCGAACACAAATATGACATTGAACATAACAGATGCACCACTGCCCTATCTACTTATGCTTCGACCCCGGCCATAAGTGCCGACTTGCATTACGCGCGAATCATTAAACATTCACACAGAAGGAAAAATTAATTACGCAATTGAGTTTAGAAAACACCGTCTTGCGTGTTGTGCGTATTGCCTTCCGTAAACATAATATTTTAAGCTTGGGTAACAATAATTCACATCCAACAGGTAGACGTATTCGTTGAATGGACATAGGAAACACACCTCTATTCTTACACATTGTAAGGAATCTCAGCTTAGCCGTGGCCCTAACAAGGGCTAGAACCGCCTTCTTATATAATTTAGCCGGCATAGCTTCAAATACCTTATGTATAGGTTCCTTCTCACCAGGTACTAGTTCAATATATATGTTACCGCTAATGCTCGAAATCCATTAATGTGTACATTACCTAGCTAATCTGCAGATTAACTAGGGTGATCCGTTAAAGCTGCGAAAATTGTTCAATTTCTCAAATTACCTAGGTAATTTGCAGAGTATCTAGGTAATCTGCACATTAACGGCTTCCGTATCGTTAAAGTTCAAAAGTTTGTTTCTTTCACTTCCTTTCCCCACTCCTTCTTTTTACGTAGATAAATTTAAATCCTAGAATGCAAGCAAGCACCGAATTGGTGAGTAAAATCAAGAAAAGATTCTTCGCAAACCTCTTTAGCGAAGATTTAAAATATAATACGTAGTGTTTTAATAACAAACCAAAGTATGATTCCATAATTGAAGATGTAAAGCAAATAAAAGTTTCCAAGAAGAAAGAATCATCTCGAGATTATCAAATAATTCAAAGGTGTGATGTGTTGACTGTACGAGGCTGTGAAAAACTCATTGAGCCGTTGTCAGATGCGCGAGAAAGGTTTGAAAAAGTTTGTCCATGCCGGAGAATTGTTTGACATTCGATAAAAACTGAAGAAGACCTTGAAAAATTAGAAGATTCACAAGAGACTGTGATTATGAGATCACAGTCAAATCTTACTCAAGAGGACATTCCGTTATCCCCCGCTTCTACAGAATCACCTATAGAAATACAAGAATTTACCGATAGTAATCTTAAACTGCCTTCTATACCGTTGATTGATGATGCAGTCACGAAGAATATTCAGTTACCCTGCACCTCCAAGGAATCGCCTCTGCAAGTTGAAGAAGTCATCACTGAGTTACTCTCAACTTCAGCAGAATCGCCATCACAGTTTCGTACGGAGCCTGTAAAGAGCACTATACAAGACATAGTCTGTATTGTTTGCTCAAAAGCAGCATCAAGTGCTCACAAGTGTAAATCGTGTAATATGTTTGTTCACGCAGTTTGTGGTGAAGTAGATCCTAAAGAGGAAGGGTATGGTAAGAATGTATTGTGCATCATCTGTAAAAAGAATATGGATCAGAAAATACAGCGTGATGAAGCCAAGAAATGTTTAGAAAAGCAAGCAAAGAAAATGTTAGCAGTTTCTAATGCAAAGCACCCAAACGTCGATGAAGGTTTCGCTGTGAGAATTAAAGTACCCGAAGAAGACAGAGCAAAAACTGATGCACGTTCAATTTTAGCTGTGGTTCTTAGTAAAACAGAGGATGGCTTTTATAAACTTGATACTAAAACAGGTATTTTAAAACAATTGTATGCAAAATCTGAATTCAGTGTTTGCAAAGAGAGATTTTTAACGAAAGAAGATGGATGTCCCTGCTGTAGAAATATCTTTACGTCAAACAGCAATAAAACAATCCCTTGGTACTGGGCAGGGTTTCAGAAAATGTGACTGCAAATCTAAATGTACCACAAATAGGCGTGCTTGTCGCAAAAACCAATTGCTACGTAATTCAAAGTGTCACCAATCTTTAGATTGCACTAATAAGTAAGTACAATTTTATCATATGTTTTGCAAATTCATTTCCCTAATTGTAGTAATATTTTAAACCGTTTGATTTTTGTATTAAAGTTTTTTTAATTGATTGATGATTGATTCAATCAACTAATTTGTTGATTGTATTAACTTGATTCTTTAGATATTGAAAATTAAATAAATAACATTATGTTAATTTAAGCGTACAGAAACGTTGCTGTTGTTCCAGCAAAAATCTTATTTTCACTTTACCGAGTGCCTAGTAGGTAATTTGCAGATTACCTAGATAATCTGAACATTACCTAGGTAATTTGAGAAATAGAATAATTTTCGCAGCTTTAACGGATTACCCTAGTTAATCTGCAGATTAGCTAGGTAATGTGCACATTAACGGATTTCGAGCTTTAGCGGTAACATGTATAAAAATAGATTCAGAATAAACTTTTGAGTGACCAGTAAAATATTTATTTGAAAAACAAACGTTTCATGTGCGTGTAAAATAAGACTGTTTAAAAATATTTTTGTTTATGCAACGCTTGATACTCATGCGCATAATCGGTTAAATATATTCCAAAACTTTTAAATCTATAAACAAAACGGCTTTTCGAATCTCGGAACGTTTAACCTGAAGAAGGCCGAAAAATACGGTCGAAAACGTTTGTTTTTCAAATAAATATTTTGCTAATCACTCAAAGGTTTATTGTGAATCTATTTTTATATATATTGAACCAGTACCTGGTGAGAAGGAATTTTTACGTAAAATTATATTAAAATATATCATTAAAACACTAAAAAATATAGTTGTAAGCAATTTTATTAGTTAAGAATCAGTAATATTTGGTGCTAAGTTTGCAGTAATTAACTATTTTAATTTCGTATTTCCTAGAACCGTTTTACGTTGAATGTTTCAAAGTAAATATTCGTTTATCATCGAAATTACGTAAGATATAATTTTTTATTTTTTTTGCTAATGTAGTGAATATATAAAGAAATTTATTAAATTTAGTGAATAGTTACTAAATATAAAGTAGGAGGTAAACAAAAGTTTCCTTACTTTTCATACCTCGTCTTCACACATAACTGAAACGTTCTCATTAATGTTTTGGCTGTATCGTAAGATTAGTTTTGTAGTAAACAAAAAATATGCCATTCGTGTTAACTAATTTAAAATACTCTGAGGGTAACATCACTTAGTTTTCAATCAGTAAAAGATGTATTAATAACTGCATCTCATTTATTTTTCAGATTTTTCAACACTGGTCTTAATTAGTGGCAAATATCGTTTGTACATTTAAAATTTCTTCGTGTTAACAAGTTTAAAGTTTTTAAAATATTATCAAATTGTAAGTTAATGCTACAGTTAATTATTTCTTCTCAATGTCTAATTTCTACATTTGTTTCTTTAAGATGTATCTTGGAGGCAGCCAACATTTCTCTTGAAGAATTCCCTTAAAAATGACAAGTTTTGAAGAAGAAAGTAAATACTGTATTTACAACTGAAAAAAAATGGATTTGATATTGTAAAGTAATTACTTCCAAGCTATGCTGAAGTAACTTTTTCTGCATTTTTTTGTAATTAATATAAACGGATTACTTTATACGTTAACCTTGAAGTTTAGTACTGTATATTGTATTTCGTAGATTTTCTGTATCAAAGTCCGAAAAAGAGAAAGTTTTTCTGTGGAAATTGTGACAAAAAATTCTGTTTAAATTCACTTTGAAATTCATAGGAGGATTCACACAGCAAAAATCGTTTTGTAGCCAGTTATGCGGTAAAACCGAATTTTTCGCAATTATTCCGGAGAGAAATCTTTTACCTGCACCACTGCAAACGGAGATTTACACAAAAGATCAATGTAGAAAGGCATCTTCGAATTCATACGGGAGAGAAATAATCTAACTGCGATTATTGTTTACAAAAGTCTGCTTACAAATACAGTGTAAATTCTTACATGAAACGCTGTAGCAAAGATTTTCTTAATTAATATAATTATTGTAAAATTTCGAAATTTGAAAGAAATAATATAATTCCCAACGTTGCTATTTATTCATTTCCTACGATATTCAGTTTTTCTACCTAATAATATTACAAAATAAAAAAAATTACATTGTAAAAATATAACCACATTTACTTCAACGGGACTCGAAACAACAACTATGTCAACATGAAACTAATACACCCAAATCACACCACTGACCACACCACTGGCAACAATGTAAATTAGAAAAGCTTTTGATTGTAAAGTGAATTCATCGTCATGCAATTACTCGTAAGCAGGTAATGGTTCACTTAGTTATATGCTAATTTCTTAGATACGTATATGTGAGATGATAATAAATAAACGTGTAAAGCCAGTTTTAATGTCAGATATACAGAATATACAAATAATGCAATTAAATAATTATGCTCCTGCGTAAAACCGGTGACGTCAAAGTCATGTGGCATCTGCAGCCAATTACCGTGATGATTCATTTCTAGTTCTAAGCGAGTGTTGCCTCTGTTCGTCGACGTCAACTCGAGAGTTAAATGCGGAAACGAGCCGAAGAAATGGCAAATCGAGAGGTACAGAGTCGGTAAGTACTTGTGTTGTTTTCTGTTTATAGCGTTTCTAGATGTGTCAGCGCAAAATCATTTTACCTGTTTTGCAATTGACTATCGTATGTGTCTCTTTTATTAAAAAAAATTAAGAGAGAAAGCGATGCTGTACTGTTATCGACAGCTTAAAAAATAACGTGATAAATGACATAAGTTAATTTTCTGTCTGTTATTGCTACTTACTTCATCACATATGTTCGTGTCAAATGAACATACTCTTATTAAATTTTCATATATAAATTTTCTAGAATATTTAAACTAAAAGTATTTAATCAACAATGGTTTCAATTGTCTTACTAGAGACAATGACTAAGCAGAACTTTACAAAAAGCTTATTTCCTTGTGTAAATTACTGTCTGTTTACAATGTTCGAACTCGAGAAGTAGACTCTTCCACTTTTAGGGTTCAAAGGGTTTAAGTAACTTAAAATTTCTCTTCTCTTGATGAAATTATTTTCGGTCTTTAAAGTTTGAGCTAATAAGCTGCGTTTATATCAATTTTAACATACAAATGATTAATACTGATTTTTTTACAAGATTTAATTCCGGTAGTTTAGTGTTTCTGGACATGTAAATCGCGGAATCCTCAGTTCTATCAACTAACAGGTGGGACGTCGAGTTCTAAAATGTAAAAGTGCTATTTATTTGTTTAAGGCAGATGAACGAATGAACCAATTAATTACATTTTGTACAAAGATTTGATTAAGATTAATTTTATGCCAATAATTTTACAAGATATTTTGTTGGTAATTATTTACATTAAGATCGTTAAGTGTTTTCTTTTAATTCTGTTTTAAAGAAGCATATTAAATAGACATTATACACACAATAAAAATGTTTTATTTAAAACAATAGATCTAAAACGTGTTATAGCAGAACTTTATAAACGTTATTTGTTTAATGATTACAAGTTTCACATGAAAGTACCAAATAACATTACAGAGAAATTCACTTATTCGACCGGTCTATTATTTATCAATCTACAAAGCGGGAGAAATCATGTTCAGAATGAATATATAGGTACGACAGTGTTACGTTATACACTCCTTTGTCCTGTAAGAAACGAAGAACCACATGATGCCACCCGGCATGGAATAGCCACAAGCAATGATACATGCTAGGCGGGCCTATTTTCTTTAGTATGTAATGTAAACTTGTAATTATATTTTGTGTGAATGTCGATGCACGCGAAGACAAAATTTAATTTTTACTTAATTAAGGGGCATCAATGTCCGTTTATTTAGAACATACGAAATAAGTGTTAATGAAAAGAAGACCTAAAGATTTTATCATCTGTTACTGAAAATAACATATAATTGTTTATTTTTTGTAAAATTAGAATTTCGTAAGTTGTTTTCGGGTCGAGAAAAAATCTTCAGCTTCTACCTCTTAACGAACTTGTTTAATGACTTTTTACAATGGATGTTGATTGATTAATATTATGTTAGCGTAATGATTTTTTACTTTCTAGCTATAAACTTGGAAAACAGAATAATGGAAAACTTAAGGAAATCGCAATTTGGGACTAGCATTATTAGTTATAACAGTACAGTATACAATGACCTATACACATATTCAAAATACGATAGGTTACAAAAAAATCAATTATTGTTCGTAGAGAATTACCAAACAATTCCACACGAATTTTGGATTATTTACATTTTGTATAACGAAAACTGTACAAACAACTTTGTTTTTTTTTATTTTGAAAATTCTATTCTGGGATTGAATCTTTGATATATTATCTATTAATAATCAAGTATAATTTCTGATTTATCACACAAAGTATCCCTGCATATTTAAAAAAATCTTTATTCTATTAATAGGAATGTGTTTCGGGCTACTTTACTTTTCAGTCTACTGAAGGGCATAACCCGAAATACTTCCCTATTCATAGAATAGACATGTCTTTTCTTTTCAAAAATGCATCGTTTCCTGGTAAGATTGCTTTTAGGAAATAAAACTTGATTATCGCGAAACCATCAAAACCCAAGATGATAAGCTAATACAAAAACGTTAATATTTTAAAAATAGCTATTAGTCATGCATTTATTGTTCATACACAATTGTCGAAAATATTACAACTACTATACGGTAGAACAGAGATGTTTGTTTCAAAGTAATAATAATTACCTTTTTGTTGTTTTAGGATTTCTTCGAGTGAGATACGTATCCGAAACGTAAAAAACGAAGAAATTATTATATCAGAAGCTCAGTTAAATAAAGTCCTGAACAGGCAATTAGAACATCATATTTCATATGTTGAAAATTCGAAAGTACTGCTTATGCCTTATCTAATCCACACCATTAGACAATTCGTTACGTAAGTTTTTCACGATACTTATCTTTCATTTAATTTCAATACATTCTCATAAATTATAATTTATATTTTTTAAACAGTTATTTACAGACGGACGATCCCGGATTGACCTCTTTTACACACGCATTCGATCTGTATAAATTGAGTTTAAGATACGAGTTAAACGATTTAAGAAAGAAATGCAGATCATTTATCATTCGCCAAATAAATCTGCATACCGTCTGTTCAATCCACGATTTTGCATGTGAGATCGATGATCTAACCATAACTTATTATTGCTGGCTAGCTATCGACCAATTCGGAGAAAGACTACTTACAACAGTCGACTTCATATGCTGTAAAATTGCAACAATTGATAGACTGCTATCTCGAGCGATATATGAATCTGTCAGTGAATTGCGTTTACTCGAAGCTGTGTATCAGTGGAGCATAGACGAAGTTAAAAGAAAATTGGGTGCCTGCTGCTTCCTTTCGATGAATGAAGAATCGAAAAGAAACGTAATAAGAAATGTCATGAAGCCATTTATTAGAAAAGTCAGATTTCTTGCCATGAATGAAGACGAATTGCGATCTTGTGTTTTTAAAATGAACTTGTTAAGCGAAGTAGAAAAGAGTCATATCTGGCATGCTTTTAAGTATGGTTATTCTTCCTTGTATCGTAGTTACTTTAGTCGAGAAACAAAAACCAGAAGCAGAATAAATTATTTTAGCTTGTTCTCGTACATAAATCGTGGAGTTCCTTTTATGGTCGCAAACAGTAAGATGGAAAATTACATATGTTTTAGCAGCGAGATAGTTGTGAGTGAAGATTGTTACGTCACGGCTCTTCGATTTCCGGTGAAGCTGGGCGAGTGTTTTCGAATGTGCGTAAACGGGTATATTAACTCTTTGGACAACAAGCAGTTTTCGTTTGACACCGTTTGCGATAAAGACGGAGTAGCAAATCTGCTAACGAAGTTGTATCTAGAAAAATATTGGAAAATTTGTTTATTTGCTTTCTTTTACCCCGCTGGAAATGTCCAACCATATTTCGAGTTTTCACCTGAACTGAGTTACTTTGTGAGCGACGAAGGAACAGATGCCAGGAAATTTGAAGACAAAATTCTAACCTGTGACAGAAACCTTATGAGTAATATTTATTTTTCGGTTGATTTATATTTTTGAAGTCAAAAGTTTCCCTGGAAAAATGTCAAATGTAAACGAGAATATAATGTAAAGTTAATTCGAATATGATTATTTCTTACTGTATCGCTGTAAAATTTTCGCAAAATGTGTTTGTACGTAAACGAGGTAAAGAATTCATTAGATTTAGAGAACACGAAATTTTAATTTAAAGTGCTTATTAATGTAATTTTTCTTTCTGAGATTAAATTGTCAACGCCGTGTTCAGTTATTCCATTAAGACTTATTGATTTTGTATTCAGGTTATTTTAAGGAAATTATATGTACAGGTACAGAACTATATATCTGTACTTTTTATATTAACATCAAGACTCATCCCGATTACTTCAATCTATTACAAGTAACACGTTCAGAAATATAGAATAATCTTTAACTAAATTTCGTGAAAACCGTGCGTCGTAGTAATACATTAAAAATTGCTTAATGTTTAATAAGTATCCCACGATATTCAATCGCACATGACTGTAACTCCTCATCAAGAAACACTTAACTTCATTTATTAATTCATCAAGCTGTTAAAATGTTTGGTATTCAGTTACTGTAAATAAATGATGGTCCAGTTGACACTGAAAGTTACATCACCGAACTGTTTAAAGTTTGTCAATGTTATAGAAAAGTTTTCATGGTTCAATTTGTTACTGTTTTCTGTCACCATCGTCGAAGAAAATGTCTTGTGTAGTAGTTGGTCATTCGTCTTTCCGAAGCAGAAACACTGTTTCATTTGTCATAACATTATTTTTATTATTCTACCTCGTCTAATTCAGCTATTTAAAACACAGAAAACTGTACTTACCAAGCGAAAAGTGTGCATATGAAAGTGAAGTCACTGAAATGAAGGAAATCGAAAATTTATTTCCGATAATTTCTTGTTTGGCATTCTTTACCACAATCACTGCCGTAATATTTTTTTCAGATCTCCGTATACTTCGCGTTTACTGAAAAATCAATTGTGAAAATTGCCTTCTGTGACGTGAATATAATACTAATTATGATATTTGAATCGACTCAAATATTCTTTATATTATTCTCTATCGGGGCGTTATATTATAAAATATACGTGATACTACGACACCTGAGCCAGAGACTATCTTTAACCTCCATTTACGTACGAAAAAAACAATTTCGCATGGAAGAAATTATTGTACTTCATTGGGGTTTGTGGTATTGTATTCAATGTAACAACGAAACGGGAGATTTGTATCTAGCAGCAATTTACGCATTCTACGTATATTTTCCTCCTGTATTTATATCAGCCCCTTTATTGATGAATCTGAATTGGTTTCTTCTTATGGAAATTATGGTCAAAGCTGTAGTATTATTCACTGTTAATTTCGTGTTTGGTTTTTTTGTTCAGAAATTTACTTCGGCAGTAAATAAATGTTTGAATCAAGATATTCGTTAACACACAAAAGTAGATAAATCGATTCTATAACATAGATAAACATTCTAATTTATAAATCTAAAATACTGAAAGCAGCTACAATCAGCTGATAAATCAGAGAATATTTAATTATATTTTCCTTTTTAGTTTAAATTATTAAATATATTTAGGTTTAAAAAA